ATTCAATAACATAAAGACTTGGTCTACTAGTTATACTACTGAATAGTATAACTGTATAATCCTATTTGATTACAACAAAGTAAATCAACAACAACACTAAGAAAAGTCAACCGTATTTCAGTTGTTCACATTTTTAAGTAACATTATTAGGTGGTTGTTTTTTTTATGCATCATTTCATTTCTGTCAAGAACCAGAATATTGAAAACAAGACAAATCATTAAAATACTGACAAAATAGTCGTGTGTATATATTTGTTATGAATTGTTTTGATTTTTTTCGCTCAAAAAATAAACAATTTTATGTCCTTTGTAATTACTTCTCCATAACAAACGTATACTATCTTAACTTGAAGCAAAAAATAATTTATTTTTCAAAATATCTGTCGATTGTTAACTTATTTCAAAGAAAACACAATATAGTTTAACTTTCTTCATAAGGACATATTATTATTATTCTTGTATTGATGAAAATCGTTAACAAAGAAGTAAGATTTTCTTCAATAAGTTAGGAGAAAGTCACTAGTTATTTACAAATTGGAATTTTTGAAAGGATAGTGATATCAAAGAATCGGTATAAATTGTCATGAAGCAGCTGGTTAGTTTGAATTATTTGAAATTGAATTGGTTCATAAATTCTGAGTATCGGGTAATTTTTTAAATCATTTTAGTGAAGGTAAATGTTTTACTTTCAGTAAAAAAATACTGCGTAAACGCTACAATCGAAGAAACTGGTGAACTGATTGCTAAGCTAGTCTGTTGATAAGGATCTTTTCAGAATATGTATAAGGTGGATTTTTTGAAATGAAATTCCAAACACTCATTAACCTGAAAAAAAGATCTATTCGGTTGGGAGCGAATAGTAAGCTTTTCTCATGGCTTGATTCTTTTCATCATTGATAGTGTTGTTCTGATTTTCTATTCCGTTAATTATAATCGCCTTACAAAATTCTAAAAAAGAATAACTGTTTTAATACATAATCATTCATATTAAGTGAGATTAGAGATGTGTGATAGTCGATATAATTGCGTGATTGCAATTTTATTCATCATCTATGATTTGCTATTTCATTCAAAAGACAATTCATCAAATAAAGGTATTATAATACTGAGAAATGATAATTGTCAGCTGTTTTAAAATATATATATACATATATCGACCTTACTGTGATTTATTATTTCGATTGCATATTGTTTTGCAAATGTAGTTGTAGGAACCTGAGCTGATAAATATTCATAACAAGCTTTTGATATTGATTATGACTGAGCAACTCTTTCTGCATTTTATGTAAATAAGAATATAACTTAGTGAAAAAGAAAATAAAAGAAGTTCAGACAAATCTACAAAGTAAACAAAACTGAATATCAACATACCGTTAAAAATAAAAGTAGAAGTAATATTTTCTATCAAGTTTCCTCAAAATTTCAGCAATAATCATAGTTGTTTTTTTTAATAAAAATGTAAATAAACGAACAAGAGAAAAACAAAATGCGGATTCAGGAAAAAAGAAAGAAAGCAAAAGGACTTGTTGTTTTTGATGAAAGAAAAAACTTCGGCTAAAATTAAGCAGATCACAATTTACGAATACTGTCCTCTTTTTTTCTTTCATTGATTGCTTTGTGTTTCTCCATTTACTGTTTTCCTTATTTCTGAACATAATTAAACACACGTTTAAAGTTGGAATAATTCAATTAGGTTTTATTTTCAGAATCCTACTTGATACGAATGGAATAGAAGTTGAAGTGTTTAATCTAATTCAACATTGCTTGTAAAATCAATAAAATTATTCATGAAGAGCATTAACGAGATTTCTATCACATATATTCCGATTTCATTTATTCAGTGAAATTTTGTGTACTTGATCACTGATATTGGAATTCGTAGTTTTTATCATTTTATTAAGTGAAAATTTGCAAAGAAATTTAATTTAAAGACTGTTTTAATTTCATGAATTGACTTTAACTAGCCAATCATGTGGTATCAGATAATTTTAGTTCGAGTTTTCTGAGAAGTAACCATATATGATGTTATGCTAAATCTAATCTAGTATTTTAAATTTTTTTTTGATGCTCGATATTTCTTGATAACGGTATTTGGGACACATTTTTGTCGTGTTTTGAACTCATCAGCTGGATGCTAGCTAATATTAACTCTGAGGTTTCAGCTAAGTATTTTTCACTTTAGATACTGCTGTATTGTTCACTCGGTTACTATGTTTACGTACCCACTGCCTTATGAGATAGGTAAGGTAAAAAGGGACTGGTCAATTTTAGGCCTTGATAACACCAGCGGAAAACAGGCTAGCCCTCACAAACACTGGGATAATAAAGTTGCATGATGTATTTGGGTGTTACCTTTTAAAAACTGATTTTTACTCAACGATTTCCAAGGTTACTCCGAATAATCAATTGATTGTCAATTTTTATTTAAATCCGGTTACTGGAACCTCAACAGTTTATTTGAAAGTTAGTTATTAATTATTAATATGTTTTTGATTTAATGAAATAAAAATGTGACAATTAGTCCGATATAATTTTACTTATTCATTCTTTAAAGAAGATATTTATTGTTTTTTGATCGTATAATATTTCTTTAAATTAATACACTGATAAGATGAACAATATTAGAGTATTTACCAAATATTTCATGAGTTATGAAGCAATCATTATTGTAAGATTTGAATTTTCTGGATTTCGTTGTTCCTTTTTGAACAGATATAAATCATAAAATATGATCGTCTGTCCCTACTTAGTTTCGAAGTTATTTCTACTTAATATTAGTTTCTCATGTGAACTATTTTCAAATTAAATAGTCTCCACAACTATTCCATCAAAGTAAACCTTTTAATTATTGTAGCACTTTTTTCAATGAAAGTTGTGCTTCCGCTGTGTTCAGTTGTCATTTTGGTGTTGTCAACTTCCCTGAGTTAGATAATTTGGCTGCAGATCTTTCATTTCCTTAATGTCATTACTTTGTTTATGTTCAAGTTATCTTATGAGTTATTCACAAGTGTTGAATTAACTCGTCCTGGTGGACTTATTTGTTATACAATTATCACCCTAAGTTTATTTGAGCCTTCATTGAATTGACTTTTATTAATATTTGTATAAAATACCTTGAGAAGTATATGTGTAACCAGATTGTTCGAAATGTATAACGAAAATACATATTATTTTTCAGAACAACTGAGTCTTCTGATTGTTCCATCAAAACTTATAAACAGGCCTCGGTGTTTTGAATTTTTGAACTTATTTGTACTTGGCTTCTGTCACATTTCTCATCATCTTCATTGGTTGTTTTTATTTATGTATTCACTTTATTTTCAAATGTTTCTCATCTGGGATCAATTGTTTTTAAATGTTTACTTTCTATAGAATGTTGCTTATGAGTGAAACTCAATCATAATGTAATGCAATTAATCTAATTTTACGCTTGACTCTTTATCAAAATGTTCATTTGACACGATATACAACTTTAATAACAGATAACTGTTTGTTTTTATAGATGAATTTATGTTTATAAAAGTTTAGTATTTATTTTCTTTAGTTTAATTTACTATCTTCCAAGTGTATTTAATTTAAACTGGAAAGACATATTTATTCATGATTAAAAGGTTGAAAAATATTTTGTTTTGTTAATCCAGAATTTTTGGTAAACACATTGTTTATCATCAGTATAGCGTTGTGAAGATTGTTAAGTTTTACAGAAATCACTAATCGATCAGTGTTAGACCACCATCAGAAACTTGAAAGCGTTGCATGGCCGTTTCATCCTAGTATGGGACTCATCAACAGTGCTCATCCACGACACCTGCATGCGGCAACCAAAACCAGGACCTTCGGTCTTTTGAGTGGACGCTTAACCGTATCAAACTAATTATCAGTTAAGTGAAAATGTTTTAAAATTAAACATCAAAGATAGAGGTAATGAGGAACTCTGAAGATATGAATTTCAGAGAACGCAAAGAGTGGATGCACCTGAGCCATTTCAAACGATTCTAAGCCATGTCATTCAGGGTCTCTAATCATCAATTAATATCATCTCGCGGACTCTAACCAGGTAGTCAACACCTACCAGCCTGTCTCAATCCAATTGACATTGACTTACCGGATTTGTACCACGTTTTGGTTTGGCGGCCCCTAACTTTCTTCCAACTAACTTTTACACAACGAAACCTCACCTATTTAGGCACTCGGTGGTTGGGTAACATAAGTTTCAATGCTTCATCTACTGAACTGAAGAGTGCGGGAACACCATTCTTTTCTAGAAGCCAGAAAAAAGTTATGTAACGTAGAATAGCTCAGTAAAATTTATCAGTAATAATTAAGGTATTAGATTTTAGTTCTTCTGTCCCTCTCTCTCTCTCTCTCTCTCTCTCTATATATATATATATATATATATATTTATTAGTCAAATACTACACAGAAGTTATATATATATATATATATATATATATATATATAACTTCTGTGTAGTATTTGACTAATAAATCAACATTTTGCCGATTACCAATGAGAACATTAAATCATCATACAATTACATTTAAATTTGATGATGTGAATTTATTGCTTATTGTTTATTTCCTAACAAACACTGATAAATCATTGTAAAGTACTTTTATACAATACGCTGGAAGAAATAAGAGCATCGTCAGTTTAAAAATGTTTGAAATTATTTGAAAATACATAATCATGTGACTAATAAATAATTTTAACAATATAAGAATGAGTTAAAGCTTAAATTTATAATTTTTAGAATAATTTTACGATACACACTATTTTGAGTCATTTAGATTAATGAATATTTATTTCACAAATCTTAGTCTGCAATGATGAAATGATAATGAACAAGAGGCTTTAAACTTAAATCTCGCTCGACTTTTGACCAGAATCATTCATCATCTATGCAATCAGTGTTATTGTATTATTTCTCTTAGTTAGTAACAGTTTTACAAATATAACTAACTACACAACCGTTTTTTATTTTGATAACATATATTTAGATAATATTCAAATTGAAAGACAAGTACAAGTTGTCGGTCACAATTTTCAAGTACACAGTTATCGATCACCTCATTTTTGTGATTACTGTGGGGAAGTATTATTTGGTTTGGTACGTCAAGGTTTACGCTGTTCAGGTGAGTGTTAATATTTTATTAATGCATAAAGTACTTAACTGTATATTGTATATTCAAGTCAAGTTTTATATATTAGTTTTGTGAAGAGTTATGATGGTCAAGGATTTTACAACTTTTTAAAGGAACTTTGTAATTGCAGACAATTCTAGTTGTCAGGTTCCTGTAGACTTCATATACTCTCAGTTAGATCAAATATTATGGTTTGAAATCACCTTTTACGTACTGTTTAATTTTTTTAAAATCAGTAATCAGCTTCTAGTAAATTAGAATTCAGCGGGAGCTTGCCTTCTTGTTCGGAACACGTCAACTGAATATACCTACACCCCAATAATAATGTTCACACTGATAATTCGATTTGGTAAATTTGGTTTCATGTATAAACACGTTATTGATTGTACTACAGATTCAAGATACCCATTAACTTTTACAGCAACCATGAGTTCTATTTTTAATAGTGTTTATATATACCTCAGTAAAGAAAGATATGTACAACGAAATGGTAATATTCGGACAATGTTTTCAGGAAGTACACTCTCTGGCAGAGCCTTATCCATTTCAGTTTGGAATACTAGATATTAACTATTGTGAATTATTTGATTTACCCTAAGAATTCTGATTCCTTAATCCTGGAGTATTTTATAAACCAATAGTCAATGTTCACTTTCAACTATAAATGAAGGAATAAATATTTTTATTCCGTATTCTTACACAAACATTACTTACTTACTTACTCTTGTTATCCCCAGTGGAGCATAGGCCGCTCACCAGTTTTCTCCAACCAACTCTCTCCTGGGCTTTCGTTTCTAGTTCTTTCCAGTTTTTTGTTCATTCTTCTCATATCTTTCTCTATTTCTCGGCATAATGTGTTCCTTGGCCTTCCTTTGTTCCTTCGTCGTTGAGGGTTCCATGTGAGGGCTTTACACAAACATAGTCGTATATTTAAATTGTTCATATTATCAAACAGCTGTTCCGCAAAAAATAGCTTCATCTCAGTTCACCTAAAACTTTGTATGTAAAAAAGGATAATAAACAAACAATCAATTCATGTACATTTCTCAGAAATTTTTCTTTTTATCGCTCTCACAATTTCTGACTTCTTTTGAAAAACAAAACAAAACAATTCGTTATCGTTTGCGTGTTTTCAAACAATGGAGCTTTCATGTTCCCTAAAACTTATAAGATGTTAGTTGAATTCGTATGAAAAGAGAAAAACAGTACACTTTTCATGTTGTATTTTACAATTAAACTCAATCATGCTTTATGATGAAAAGAAAAAAAAGAGGGAAAAATCAAATGCTTAACTTGTTTAACTTGTTTTAAATTGATCAAACATTTTCTTATCTCAACATGTAATTTAACATGTAATTTATTTTGGCTATTTAAGTTTCAAAGAAATATTCATCTTGTATGATTTATATTTCACAGCTTTCTTTTTCCGCTTATGTTTGTTAGTTCTTGTTTGTTTATGATCATCGTCAAAATTATTGAACAGCATTAAATGGATGATTTAAAAAATTCCAGATGGTGTGATGTAAGCTGTGAAAGTTAACAATCTGTCTAAGCCCCTTATATGTTACTACTAATATGTATTACTAGTAATGAAAGAGATGATTTCAGTAGTTCCACTAAGGACTTTAAACATGTCGAGTGTTAGGTTGTTACTCATTAACAGAATTAGAGTATAATTTCTTAAGATATTGAATTAACTAAGGTTAATTATGGTGACAGCTGAATTTCCAACCATCGGTATAAAAAGTAAGCGATTGCCAAGAAACCTTGCAGGTATATGCGCAATAAAAAAATGCCCCTTCAAAAGAATTAAACAGTTGTCTATTATTTTCTGCTTTTCATTTCCTGACTAACCAAACTTAGCTGTTAGGTTAAGTGATGAAATTCCCAACTTCATATACTGAAAGGTAACTTGGGTTTAGGACTAGATTGAAAATATTCGTGGAAAAAGTTTTTCTAACGGATTCATAAAAGAACAATTACTTTCTTGTTCGTGGTGGTGTGTCGTTCCCTGAGCTGGATGTTTTGGTTGTGAAGCTTTAATTGTTCTTCTGAACAGCATCATCGGCACAAACTTCAAATAGCAGAAGTGAAGTATTCGAATTTATCCACGTTTGACCCGTACCTCTGTTCTCCTAAACTCGATCTTGATTGGTTGCAGTTGACCTTAAACCTGTCGGTATTTGCACCATAGGTTTTTATTGTATCCCCATTTTGATCTGTTTCTTGATCCTATGTCACCTATGATTTTTCTGACTGGTTGATAAATTAAGTCAATGTCGATATGTTTCTTAACTGCCGATGTGTTTGTTGATTGCTGATCGATCTGAGTGCCAAGCTTCCTGAAATTTTCTAGTATTCTTTGTGTTCCCCTATTCAGTATTTCAACATTGTTCCAATCGAATATATGTCCCTAATTGTTGGTATAAGTGAAGAATTGTCGTGGCGTTTGACCGGTAATTGGTGTCCACGTAAACGAAGCTGAAGAGGCCATCCTTTTTGTTCTATGTAGTGTTTTTCACAGTCTGAGCAATTTATTTAGTAGATGATATTTGGTTTTTCTTCTTTTGCCATTTTGTCCTTTGGTCTACATAAGATCGATTGAAGTGTTCCAAATTTTTGAAATATTTCAGTCTCATTATTCATATTGTTGATTCATAGAAAAATTCTGCCTCAGTGATCCACAGAAGAAAGTGGCTACAAAATGTAGCAAGCCTTAATCTTACTTAAGACCAAGTCTTAAATTCTTTCTTTTCGTACTATTCTGAGGAATCAATGAATTAAAAAGTAGTTCTAATCTGTAAAAATTAACAAACTTTAAATCAATCTTATATTAGTGAATCTAAAAAAATTATACAGAAACCATGTGAGATTCCATGTATGATGATTGATTAAAAAAAGCTGGAGTATACTTTCGTCTAATTGATGATTTCATGAATTTCACAAATATAATGTGATGAGTTAATTTTAATTATCTGCATAAGGACGTCTGTATTTATGTTGTGTGAATTAGGAATTCCTACTTGTTTTAAAAATGCTTCCTAAGGATTTATAGCAATTATCATCTTTGGAATAATTTTTATTCATGAAATGTAAAATCAAAACAAATATTCTAGGCAGATTTCACAAGTAGACAACGTAATGTAGTTAGTTTTTTTGTTTAACGATCCCTATCTACAATTTAAAGAATTGTGTTCGATTTTTTGAAATTGAACAGTTTCCATTGTTTTCGTTATCTGTTTTGTGAAGCAATTTTCACCACTAACTATTATCAACCAGAAAATCAAAAATGATTCAAGCAGCGTTAAATAAATGTTTGTTTTTCCAGTTTCGGACTTATCATTAGTTTGCAGCTGTGACTTTACAGAAGAAGATTGAACTCGGAAGATTTAATCATAAAGCTGAGAAACTGAGCTAAAATTTGATTATTCATAATTTCTGACTTTAAGTGTTTCAAAATGCAGTCCTGATTCGTATCTAGAAATGGGAGGATCCCTGTTAGACCGTAAACTATAAAGTCAATGTATATCAACTTCAGTGGTATTACATTAAACTTTGGTTACATTACATAACGAATGAAGTTGGGAAATAGAAGAGCATGTAATTTCAACTTAATGCCTAGGTGTTATTATTCTCTATTCATCATTTTTCAATGTATATTGTATTTATTCTATTCATGAAATATAATGAATGAACAAAATCTAATCAGTCCTTTTTTGGCTAAGATTGAATAGTTCTCAAATTCCACTTCAAATCATATTGAAGTATAAAAAAAAATTAAGCATACATTTTGTTTCAACTATTCACGTATTTGAACATGAAGATACAAAGAATAAAAGACAATAACAGAACAAAAAAAACAATTAAGCACTTTCTTTGTTGTTTTTTTCTGTTGTAGCGTTTTTATTTTTTCGTTTGCATAAAGAAAAGAAAAAAAAATCAACATGATTATTATTTTGTTCGTTTTTTTGGAAAAAGAAAACATTTATTCTTGTGTTAAATTGTCGATATTATTCTTGTCAATCAGTCAGTCAGTCACTCACAACGTAGAACTTTGTAAGTATTAGTAGTAATGGAAGAGATTAGGTTTTGAATTTATTATTCAAAAAGTATATATAGTCTAGTGAAATAAACTTAAAAAGTGAAAGATATAGGTAATGAAGAATCCAGAGGATTAGGAAGTGAGAATATTATTGTTCAATAAGTAGGTATAATAATATTAATAGTATTTCTAATAATTTATAGGTTCTGATAAACTGGTGCTAATCTTTCGCTGTGAATGCAAAAGTAGATTAAGATATTAATTCGACTCATATAAGTGATTGTTGAACAAATAATGACTATGATGATCATATGTTTTCTTTCTTGCTTACAAAAGAATTGCAAACAGATTTAAAGAGTAAGAAACAATTTTTATATCCGATTTTTTAGATTAACTAGATTCGACCTGACTTTTTTTGATAAAAATCAACCGACCAATCAGTCAGTGTTGCATAGCAAAATGTTTGTAACGAAACGGATAAAAATAAAATAATTATTTATTCTAAGTTATTATTTAATTATTGGATGAATTAATTACCGTATTAAGGTGAAATTTTAACTGTTCAATGTCACTTAGACATTTTAAAATGAACTGTTCATTAACTGTATATGAATTAGTATAAAATTGTTTTTGCGTCTTCTGTTATTCAATTTGATTCATTTATCTGTCTGTTCTGTGGAAACACTAAACAGTCATAATTAGCTTTCTTTGTAAAAATATAATAGTTTAATCATTTCAATTAGTGATGCAAGATTTAAATTATATTTATGATTAAGTCAAATGAAAAAAATATCAGATTATGCAAAAAGAGAAACTAGATCAAAGTTGACAAAAATAATATCACTTTAAGAGTTTGTTTATAGTGAATAGATTTTATGAGGTTCTTGTATTTAGATAATATTTAATCAATTTATTCAAGAAACCCTTTCAGCCAGCGCTGCTTTATAAA